CACACACACACACACACACACACACACAGTAACCACGAGTCTACTAGGTCATTTGACCTGCATGCTCTGGATGAAAAGAGAAAAAGATGAAGCCTGTAATCCCAGCACTTAGAAGGCTGAGACAGTGGTAGACCAGGGCTTGTGGATCCTCTGAGCCCCAAGGTTCTGTCGAAGCACCACAATGCACAAAAAGAAGGTGGGTGAGGCTGGAGAGATAGCTCAGAGGCATAAGTGCCTGCCTGGCAAGAGCAATATCCTGAGTTCGATCCACGGTACCAAAAAAAAAAAAAAAAGAGGGCTGCAAGGTCAGACTATGGACAAGCTTTTACAGAGCTGGGGACAAGCCTGTGCGGGATGGGAAGACGGGTGTCCAAAGCTTCACAATCCTTGACTGGCACAGACAGAAACTGCATCTGGCGGAGAACGCTGAGCCTGAGGACCAGTCAACTACATAAGTGTTGAACGCAAGCCCAGACTGCCTCTCATTCCTTTCAAACTGTGACTCTTTATCGACTCGGGAGGGTATTCCACAGCCCCCCAGGTGCTATCGGGGTGGGGAGCATTGGAAGGAATTAAAGGAGAAAAAAAAAAAAAAAAGCGGCTCCTGTGCTCCTTCGCCTTCTTGGGTCTCTCCTGGAGACGCCCTTGCGCGGCACAGCTGGCTTGGAGGCTGTGCTCCGGCCTGGCGGCCTGGGACGCCCTCAGAGGCTCTAAGAGAATAGGCAGGGGACGCCCCGGGTGCTGGAGCCCGAGAGCGGCGCCTCGCGGGGGCGGAGCTCTGCGCCTGCGCACACTCGGGAGGGGCGCCGCCTAAGGACGCGCTGCGCAGGCGCGCAACAGTGGCCGGTTAGCGTCGGGACAGATGGAGTCGGAGCTGCTCCTGCAGAGGGTTTCTGCGCTGCAGGTTCGTTGGAGGACGGGCGGGCGGTGCGCCTAGGGTCTCGGTCTGGGACCTTCCAGTAAGATGAGGCTGTCACGGTGAGCCCCCTACCCTGCCAAACTCTGGAGGTGCCGGCACACCCCCACTACACCAAAGAATGACGGACTCACGGGGCGCTCCTGCGGCGTCGGGGGCTGGGGGGAGACAAGAGGGGCCTTAAAGCCAAAGGGAAGTCCAGCTCCGAGTTCTCCCTAAACTCCCCAAGCCTCACCGGGCGTGGTGGCGTACACCTGGAACTCCAGAGCTCGGGAGGCTGAAGCAGGAGGATCACCGTGAGTGCAAAGCCAGCCTGCCCTACATAGCGAGATCCTGTCTCAATTAAACCACCTCCTGGAGCCTCAGCGCGCACTGTCCCTTGCCTTTTCGCCTTGGTCGTATCCTCTCTTGCAGCCCTAGGGATGACTGACCCAAGACAGCCCTTCCTAAAATGATTATGACCTTCTTTCTACACATCAGGCCTGCATCAGGGGCTTCTTGGTCCGACGCCGATTTCAGAGCCTGCGAGCTGAGTATGAGTCAATTGTACAGGAGATCGAGGGAGACCTGGGCACACTTCAGTGGACTGGTGGCTGGATTCCCAGGCCCCAGTTTCTCCCTAAGGTATCACACCCCAGGGGAAGAAGGGAGGGGAAGGACCTGGACAGGAGATTGAAGAAGATGGTAGAACCTAATCTTCTGATGACAAACCACTGTCACTAGATGAGGCAGCGAACTTGCCTCCTCACACCCTATTCCTTAATCCTACCATCTGTAGGGGGCCTCATATGTCTGTGATTTCTCAGAAGGCTAAATCCTATTGCTCCTGGAAGGCAAGAGAGAAAGTACTAAGTCCAGAGCAAGAACTGTGGAGCCACGTCCCCCTTAAAGAGCCTGAGGAAAGGGCCATCTGGGAGGAAACGGCACTGAAGACGACAGAAGATGCCTCAGCGAACCCGGGGAGTCTTTGCAGAGATGACAGCCCCTGGCTTCAGGTTGAGCATAACAGTAAAATCAGGAATCCCAGCCAAGAGGAGACCAGAGACACCTCAAGGATGGAGAACTCAGGTACATTTCTGGCTGGCTAGATCAAGGCAAGCCCCTGACCCTCTCTGGGCCTTAGCCTGTCCATCTGAAAAGTCAGAAATATGCTAAATAAGCTGCATCCCCTTCCTCTTTTTGGCCTAGTTTGGGGAGACACATGTGTGGGCAGCAAGGGGTCTAGCTCTCAAAGCACTCTCTCCCTTTTCTTTCCTCCTTCAAAGAACCCACAAGCCCAGGACTGTGCTACAGCCATTGTGAGCTGCAGGAGCTCCAGTATCACCGAAGCCACTTGGCCATGGAACTGCTGTGGTTACAGCAGGCCATCAACAGCCGTAAGGAGGTAGGTGCTAACGGGGAACTCTGGGTAGGGGATGGGGAGGAGCCTCCTGCTGTGCTCAGGCCTGCATCATGCAGTATCTCTTCTCTCCCAACAGTATCTAATTCTCAGACAAACACTGACATCTCCAGAAGCAGGCCAGACCAGAGATGAGCTCAGCCTATGCCCAGACCGCAGAGGACAGACTTACAAAGTGTGGTCACAACCAAACCCACTGCTGGAAGACAAGCCCAGCAGGGAGCTAGACCTTCTAGGTGACTCCTGTCCGAAGGGCAAATCACAGGCCTACGAGTCCCCAGAAAGTCTGGCCACTACTGACAAAACTAGTGCTGGAGCTAAAAACAGGGAGCAATGTCAGAGGAAGGCTGGGCCACAGCTGTCTGTACCATCCAATAGCCAGGCTGGAGGGGACAGGTGGATCAAGAGGCCAGACCACAGAGGACAGACCTTACAGCAGATGAAACTTCCAGAGGACCAGACCTCTAGGGCCCTGAGACCTACAATCCCCTGTTTTGGGAAGGCCAGGACACAGCTGCCTGCACTCTGTGAGGACCCAGATGTTGAGGACAAGTCTCCCAGAAAGCCAAGGCCCAAAGAGCCTGACTGTCGAACAGCAAGGCCACAAGAGCTGCGCCTGTTGGAGGACCACGTTATTTGCAGTGGAATGTTGGGAGGCCCAGAGCCTGGTCTGCTGGATCTCAGGACTAAATCACCCAAGGCACAGACACTCAGTGATAGAAGTTCCAGAGATGGAGTGGCCAGTGAGCCTAGTCACAAAGAACTGAAAAACCACAGGACTGTACTTTGGAGATCAAGGCTGGCTGAGAATCTGTCTTTCACAGGATTAGATGAGACAAAGGAGGACCAATGGAGGGGCAGAACATTAAAAACAGGACCCCCAGGCTAGACAGTGAGGAGGCAGGCAAGGAACAGGCTCTAAGGGAGGGACACTGTGACCAGTAGTGGAGCGGGCAAGTCCTCATCCTGTTACCAGTGCTCTCCCAGCAAGCGAGTGGCTGTGGGGCCGAGAGAGGCTGGTGTAGACTGGGTATGAGTAGAGTGAGGAGGACAAAGGCGACCCTTTCATCATCTGCCTGTGGCTCAGTCCACATTTCAGGCTAAGCACCTACCTGGCTAATAAAGGTTTTTCTTGGATTCCAAACCTGGCTCCTTTCCTGTCCTGCCTCTGGGATCTCCTGTTCACTTCATCTTAGCATGGGGAATCGTTCTTATAGCCGAGGAGCAGATTTAGCCATCTTTTGTAAGGAAGAGACCTCAAGCCAATCTCCGCTTGAGCTCAAACTCCTGGGGTTGGGAGTGCCTAAGGTTCCAGAGACTACTGGGACATGTGTTTAAGTGGCATCTCTGCCAGGCATGGTGGTGCATGCCTGTAATCCCAGTACATGGGAGGCTGATTGGAGGATTGCTGTGAGTTCAAGGATAGCCTGAAATCTATAGCTAGTGAGACCCCGTCTCAACAAAAACAACCTTTATAAATGGGATCCCTGCTCCAAAGCATGGTGTTGCATACCTGCAAATCCAGCACTCAGGGCTGAGGCCAGAGGATCATTGTAAGTTTATCAGCCTGAGCTACAAAGTGAGCTCAAGACCAGCCTGAACTGCATAGCAAAACCCTATCTTAAAAAGACAAAAAATGGGCTGGGGACATAGCTCAATAGAATAAGGGCTTGCCTGGCAAGCACAAGGGCCTGAGTTCAATCCCTGATACCCCCCCAAAAAAAATGGGGGCCAGGGAGATGGCTCAGTAGAATAAGCACTTACCTGGCAAGCACAAGGGCCTGAGTTCAATCCCTAGTTCCGCAAAAAAAAAAAAAAAAAAAAAAAAAAAGGCAACCCCCCTCCACTACCAATACTATAGTGAGTTCAAGACGAGCCTTAACTAATGATGATCCTTAGTTTAAAATTAAAAAAATAAAAGGGTTTTCTGCTACTTCTTTTTATTGAGCTACCAGAGGCTCTCCCTGCCTTCCTGGTGAGAGAGCAGGATTATCTCTGGTGTGACTTCCAGCCTGGCCTGAAGTTGCCTGGTAACAGTTCCGCGTCTGACTGAGGACACACAATGGCAGGTGGCAGGCCAGCTGCCAAGAAGGTAGTGGTGTACCGGAATGGAGACCCCTTTTTCCCAGGCCGCCAGCTGGTGGTAACCCAACAGCATTTCCCCACCATGGAGGCCTTCCTTTGTGAGGTGACCTCCGCTGTGCAGGCCCCGTTGGCTGTACGTGCCCTCTACAGGGCTTGTGATGGCCACCCTGTCACTGACCTGGCAGACCTGCAGAATGGAGGACAATATGTGGCTGCTGGCTCTGAACGATTCCACAAACTCCAGTGAGTCGGTTGGGCTGGTCAAAGAGCCAGGGTGGGGGGTGGGGGTGGGACAGCAGTAGCACTAGTGTCTTCTGTATTTACTGTGTAAATGGCAGGCTTTCTACATTGCCTCCCTTCATCTGGGGTGAGATCATTTCCACTAGTTAGAAGAGGAAACCTGCCTGTACCTGAGCAACAGACAGCTGAGCTGCACTTCTGGTTTTGTGTTTTTAAGACCAGATCCTCCAGTTCAGGCCATCTTTGAACTATCATATAGCCCAGGCTAGCCTCAAACTGGCAATGATCCTCCTGAGCCTCTCTAGTGCTGGAATTATAGGCATGTGCCACCATGCCCAGCTGGGATTGAATTCTGCCCGATACTAACACTTAAACTTATCCAGCAGGCCGGGGAGATAGCTCAGTAGGATAAGCGCTTGACTGGCAAACACAAGGATCTGAGTTCAATCCCCGGTTCTGTCAAACCCCAGACCCCTGTGCCTGCTTGCAGGTGCTTTAATCCACTGAGCTATCTGGCCAGCACTCTCTCAGTCTTATCTCCGAGACTCCAGTCCTGCTTCCAGCCAGACTTAGCAGTTAAGGCAGCCTAAGGCAGGTTCAAGTGCCAGCATCTATTTCTAGACTAAGGGACACTTCCAGTGGGGAGGGATGCCTGGTGAGCCCCATACTGTGGCAGCAAGTGGGCCACTGATATGTCAGACTTCCCGTGATGACCCATGGTCTGTCTATCTTTTCAGCTACTTACTCCCTGGAGGGAAGGATCCAGGTGGAAAGAGCACCAGACTAAAAGTGAGTTCTGAGGAGGTGGTCCCCACCTCTGACCTCCAACCCTTCCTGGGATTGCTCCAATGTAGGTTGGGCAACCAGGGGCTTTGGAAGCAGCCAGAGCTGCCAGTTGCATGGAGCATACTCATGTGAGCCTCCTGCTCCCCTGCTCCTGTGCCAGCCTCTCACTTCCTCTCCAGGCTTGGTCCCCAAGGGAGAGGAAGTTGTGAAACACACATGGCAGAAAAGGTGGTTAGAAGATGATTAGCAGGTGCCCCCTGCTACATCCAGTGAGTGCCACTGTCAGGGAGCGGGAGTATGGATTTTTTTTCTGTTTCAGTGAGAAAAGAAAGTGGGGATCGTCCAATGGCTATGGGTGGGATGATAAGCCCAACAAATGACTTACACCTTCTTGGTGAAAAGTGTGGCCAGTCTTGGGCCAGGGAGATAGCTCAGTGGCTTAAGCACCTGTCTGGTAGGCACAAGGTCCTGAGTTCGATTCCCACATGAAAAAAAAGAAAAAGATTGTCTCTCTTTGCCCCCATTCCTGCCCAGGCGTGGCTCTGCCTGCCCACCCCACACTCCTTAAACTGCCCCCACCCCTAGTCAAAGGCCTCAGCTCTCTCATTTGAGGGCCTGACTTGTGTTTCAGGGCTCATCCATGACTCACCACCAGTGTGATGAGGCCGCTGGACAGTGGCTGCCTGCAGGTGCCCCCTGCTACATCCAGTGAGTGCCACTGTCAGGGAGTGGGAGTATGGATTTTTTAATTTATTTGTTTTAGTGAGAAAAGAAAGTGGGGCTTGTCCCATGGCTGTGGGTGGGAAGATAAGCCCAACATGCTTGATGGGTGAAGATGGGCCAGTACACTGATTCTTGGGCTACCCTTCCTTTCATACGTGGGGTATCCTGGACACCCTTCTTACCAAGTTGCTATCTGTCTCAGTGTGTTCAGGAATGGAGACCTGCTAAGTCCCCCATTTAGTCTGAAGCTGTCCCAGGCTACCATCCAGGACTGGGATGCCATGTTGAAGCTACTGACTGAGAAAGCCAAGTTGCAGAGTGGGGTTGTGTGCAAGTGAGTATGGGAACTGGACCAGCCCAGAAGTTCCTCAAGGGGCTTCCTGCTGGTGCCAGCTATTATAAAGATGGAAATAGGAAAGAATGTCCCCTCCAGTGGGACTTCTGCCTGTGCCACAGGAGAGGCCTCTCCAGCCTAGCCCTCTGAGCTAGGGTAGAACCTGGGGACTGGTACCCAGACAGCCAGAGGCCAGGGGAGCCTTGGAGTAGCTGTGCCCACCCAGCCGTGCCCACCTGTCACTACCTGCTGAGTAAGAAGAGCCATCTTGTCCACCAGCCCTTATCTAGCTCACCTTTCTCCAGACTCTGCACCCTGGAGGGGCTCCCACTGTCAGCAGGAGAGACTCTGGTGAGTGGCCATTACTATGTGGCTGTTGGAGAGGACGACTTCAAAGCCCTCCCCTACCTGGAGCTGCTGGTGCCCAGCCCCTCCCTGCCCAGGGGCTGCTGGTATGTATGTGAAAGGTGCAAGGCCACAGGTCACAGCAGCAGATGGAGACACCCTCTGGTCTGCATGCCCTGACTCCCTGTCATACTTTGCCCACTACAAGCCTCTCCTCTCCTCGTAGGCACCCCCCAGGCCGGAAATACAGACCTCGAAGGCAGGAGGTTGGTAACATGGGGCCATGGGAGTGGGAAGGCACGGGAGCAAGTGACTGAGGAGTCTGACGGCTTGGCCTCTGGCCTTATCTCTGTATCCACTCAATCTTGTGAAATACAGATTATCCCCATTTTCAGAAGTGGAAACTGAAGCTCAACAGAGTAATGTGATTTGTTTAGGGAGACACAGGTACTGAGTACCAGACCAGAATTATGTTCTTCAGGATGAAGTTACAAAGCCTAAGGCCTACTGGCATACTTGGCGTAACAGTGCCCAAGGGAACTTAGCTTACCATCCTTCTAGGCCTGAAGGACTGGGGTATGGGTCAGTGGTAGAGCACTTGCTGGCCTAACATGTGGGAGGTGCTCGTTTAATTCCCAGTGCCAAAACCAAAACATAGGTTAGGCAAGGTGGCACCTGTCTGCAATCCCAGGTACTCAGGAGGCTGAAGCAGGAGAATGGGCAATTTATCAAGACCCTGTCTCAAAAAAAGTTGGGGGGAATGCAGATGTGCTCAGTACAAAGGTCCTGGGTTCAATCCCCAATACCACAAACATCAAAAAACTAACAACCAGACCTGAACTCTTGTGGCCTCCCAAAAGGTGAACCAGTGAATATGGGGCATCAGAGTGGGTGGGGGCCACAGCCTGGCTTTGTCGGCACCTCCAAGAGCCAGGCACCAGTCATTCTGTCCCTGGGCAGGCAGTCTGATGGAAAGGTGGACGCAAACCATGAAGATGAATGGCGCTGCCTCTCCTAAGCTCTCTCAGGGCACTAGGGAATAGGACAAGTGTGAAGAGCCACCAACCATGGTCCAAGCCCACTGTCTCTTGTGTAGACCCAGGGTCACGTGGCACAGGCAAGCCAGCCCTCTCTGAAGGAGCCAGGACAAAATGAGTCATCCGCTCTCCATGCCAGAGCCCAGCAGGCCATTCAGCCAAGAAGCAAACTTCCCTCTCTGTCATTTGCATCAGGTGAGGGGCTCCAGGGCCAGGGCCTCTCAGCCACCACCTTTTTTGTGCATGTGTTAGGGCTTGAGCCCAGGGCCTCATGCATGCTAGTCAAGTGCTCCACCTCAGCGACCCTTTAGCAGTGACCCAGGTTTACAAAGGCAGAAGCCCAGGCAGGAGGCTGCTCTGACCAAAGCAAAACTGTCTTCTGCTCCCGTGTGCATGTATGGTCTCTTGCTTCTTCATATGGACTTGCCAAGTGGAAAGGGCAGGTTTCTCTCAAAGGGATGAGGCTTTGGGGGTGCAATTCACTTGGGCTGCCATTGATGGGACTGTGGGAATGTGGGGGGGGGGGAAGAGGCTGCTAGAGAAAGTCAAGGGAAAAAGGCTGAGGACTCCTCAGCTTGGGCATCAGCATCAGTTAGTGCTGCCTCTGCCACCAGGAGTTAAGGGAGAGAGATGGCAGGAGCCCAGGAAGTAGCAGACCATGAAGACACCCGGACACAGGAGCCCTGGATGAGGTGAGTTGTTGGCTCAGGAGGCCACACTTACAATGGAGGGGGTTCTGAGCCAGACAGAAACTGGTAGGTCCCAGAAGAAGGCCCTGCCCATCCTTCTACCCCCACCCCATGACTGACCGTGAGCAGCTCTAACACCTCAGAATCCCACTAACTACCATATTCAGTGAGGGAGCAGACCCCAGCTGATCCAGTCTTACCCTCTCCTGGCTGGGCAGCAGGATGGACATCTCATGGCTCCTTCCCCTGTGCTTCTGCACTTCTTCCAGAGGGGAGCCCAGACAGCAGAAGAGGCTCTGCCCACAGAGAGCAGTCGCCTCAGCCTTGACCTTTGCTGCACCATTTGAAAACCAAAAGCTCCAAGCAGAAACCAGAGATACCGGTAGGTATTGACCTACCACTAGGAAACCACCTTTTGTGCGCAGTCCCCAGTAGCCCATTCTGAGGAGCCACGCCTTGCCTGGGCCTCAGGGATATGGCACCTCAGCTTCTCCTGATTCTGCTCCTAGTCCACAGCCAGACTTTCCCTCCTCTCTGAGCAGAGCAGCCCTCGCTGTGGAGGCTGTTTCCTGCAGGATTCTCTGTGCAGAGAAAGTAGTTGGCTGAGCTTGGTAGCGAAGCCACAAATGTGAGAGTGGGTTTGTCAAAATAAACACATACCTCTAACCTCAGTCTGCTTAGTGCAGGTTTATTGAAGACTGCCACTGGCCAGATGTTGCATTGGTGCTGCATTAATTACGTGGTACTGGGGTTCAGTTGTCTGAGAAGGATTAACAGTTGAGCATTTTCACCTTCCTCCAGGGTGACAGGCAGCTCTTTTGTCCCACCTGCCATCCTGATGCACTGTCTCACCCTCAGTTCCACCCTTCAGTCAGCCAAGGCACTCCGGCTGAGCCCTGAAGGTCTCCACTGCAGCTGGCCCTCTCCATGCAGGTGGGCTGTGCACTCCGTGGAACCTGCCACCATGAGAGTCTGGGGCAGGCCAGGTTGGCGGTGGCTGGGTGATGGTGGTCTGAGATGTCCACAAGAAGAGCTGCTGGGTGGAAAGGCTGCTGAGAGGGAGTGTGAAGTCTCCTGGGCTAATTCAGCAACTAGCACACCTTGAAGGTTACAAAGCCCTGCCACTGCTTATCTCTTACTGTGATCCATGAGGTAGCTGTTATCTCCGGAAGAGATGAGGAAGTTGGGGCTCTGAGAGGGCAAGGGCTGGTCCAGCTGCTCACTGCCTGGGACGGCACAGGGGCTTCCCGTAGACAGCAGGGGTAGAGGTGGGGCTCAGTCCATTCAAAAGGTAGATGGCTGCTCCTGGGTTTTGCTCACTGAGCTCATGATGCACAGAGTAATTCCTGTCATGGTGAGCACCATGCCAATAGCTGCTCCTGGAATAATGGGCAGACACCAAGGGGTTTTGAGCCCAGCCATGCCAGTGGGCAGGAGCTGGTACAGAGCCATGGACGGGGCCTGGCCCTGATTCTCACCCCTAGCCTGTGCCCCAGACTCCTACCCTGGGAGATGGAAAAGAACTAACCTAGGCATGTGGAGACCCAAGCAGCTGCTTCCTGCATTCACAACAGCTTGACTTACGTTTTCCACCAACATCTTCTCCAAGAAGCTTCCCCACAATCAGTGTGAAGACAATGGCCAGAGAGTTGCAGATGGGCACAGCCAGAGTCAGATCTGGTGGTCAGAATGAGAAGAACTCTGAGATGCAAAAAAAAAAAAGCCTTTCTAGGTACAAAATGAAAATTCACTTCATCCTATCATTTCATGCCTTCAGAAAAAGTATCATGACCCCATTTTCCAGACATGACAGCAAAGCTTGGGACTGAAACCAAGGTCTCCTGACTCAAGTTCTGCGCTTCCACAGTATTCCAGCAAGAAGACTGGGACCTCTTGGTAAGACAGGAGGAGTGAGGTCTTTGCACTCCATGAGAACGCCTGAGATTTCCAGGACATCTGGACAGATAAGCAGGCATCCGAAGCTCAAAGGATACAGCAGAATGAGTGCAACTGTGCCAAGCGTGGCCATATGAAAGTACATTCTGAGGGGCTGGGGAGATGGCTCAGTAGAGTAAGTGCTTGCCTGGCAAGCACAAGGGCCTGTGTTCAATCCCCAGTTCTGCAAAAAAAAGAAAAAAGAAAGAAAGTACATTCTGGGTGCTTTGTATATACATTTAATTTTCACAACAAAATTGCAAGGAGATCATAAAGGAAACAAAGGCTCAATATATCATATAAATTGAGGCAAACAGATTGGGGGGGCCTGGCGTGGCATGCGGTGCTGGGGATCAAGCCACAGTCCCTGTGCTTTGCCTACAGTTGCCTAAGTAGGCACTTTAGACCACAGAGCTATCTCACCGGCCTGAAAATTGAGATTTTTTTTTTTTTTTTTTTTTTTTTTTTGCGGAACCAGGGATTGAACTCAGGTCCTTGGGCTTGCCAGGGAAGCACTCGTTCCACTGAGCCATCTCTCCGGCCCCAAAATTGAGATTTTTTTTTAAACCAAGGTCTGGCTGGGTATGGTGAATGCACACCTGTAATCCCTATACTTAGGGGGCAGGCTGAAACTACACAGTGAGTTCAAGGGCAGTCTGAACTACATAGCAAGACCCTGTTTCATCACACAAAACAAAACCAAAAAACCCCACAGAGGTCTTCCTTATTCAAAGCCTTTTTTTCTTTTTTTAATAAATTTTTTATTTATTTATGGGGGGGGCAGCTCACCCCACCAGGGGGCGGGGCTGGCTGGCATGTGGTGCTGGGGAATTGAACCGCGGTCCCTGTGCTTTGCCAAGCTTGTTCCAAGTAGGTGCTTTAGACCACTGAGCCATCTCACCAGCCCCCAAAGTCTTTTTTTCTTAATTAATTGGATGTAAACAAAGCAAAACATCAGGTAAAACACATTTTATTGGGGCTGGGGATGTAGCTTGGCAACATAAGCACTTGCCTGGCAAACTTGAGGTCCTGAGTTCGACTTCTACTACCAAACAAAACATCACATTTTGTTTCTATCTCAGCTCAAGTTCCAACTTTATGGAGTTAAAGAGAAATAAAAATGACCACAGTAGAAGGCTAGGTACCAGTTCAGTACTTCTGGGACTCACATAAAGTCACTGTAGGGCTGGTGAGATGGCTCAGTGGTCTAAAGCACCTACTTAGAACAAGCTTAGCAAAGCACAGGGATCGTGGTCCAATCCCCCAGCACCACATGCCAGCCAGCCCCGCCCCCTGGTGGGCTGAGCTGGCCACACACACACACACACACACACAAATAAATAAATAAATAAAAATAAAAATAAATAAAGTCGCTGTAGCCCAGGATCTATTTCTTAGTTATAAAACTCCAAGGACTGATTTTCTTTCTTTCTTTCTTTCTTTTTTTTTGCAGAACCAGGGATTGAACTCAGGCCCTTGCACTTGCCAGGGAAGCGCTTTTTCTACTGAGCCATTTCCCCAGTCCCCTAGGACTGATTTTCAATAAGCAAACTAAAAGAAATGGGCCAGTGGGATTACCAAAACAGTATTGGGGGTGGAGTGGAGGAATAAAAAAACCAAAACAATTGTAGATTTTGATTTGTCAAAGTAGGGTATGCAGCCAGGTGTAGTGGTACATGCCTGTAATCCCAGTACTCGGGAGATTGAGAAAGAAAGATCGCTGAGAGTTCAAGGCGAGCCTGAGCTACAAAGTGAGTCCAAGGCCAGCCTGAACTGCATAGTGAGACCCTGTCTCAAAGAAAAGAAAAAACAACAAAACAACAAACAAACTGCTGAGTATGGTGGCACATGCCTGTAATCTTAGAATTATGGGAGGCTCAAAGCAGGAGGATTACAAGCTTGAGCCCAGCCAGGGAAATTTTGCAAAACCTTATCTCATATAAAAAAATTAAAAAAAAAAAAAGTAAGGCCGGGGAGATGGCTCAGTGGAATAAGTGCTTCCCTGTCAAGCGCAAGGGCCTGAGTTCAATCCCCGGTTCTGCAAAAAAAAAATAAATAAATAAATAAAATAAAAGGCCTAGTGGTTAAGCTCAGTATAAAGGTCCTAGATTCATTCAATACCCAGTACTGCAAAAAAAAAAAAAATAAATAAAGCTATTTGTTTGAAATGAGATTCATAACCACAGGTAGACTGTCATACTCTCAGGCCCCACCTGCTGGGGCAGAGGAGGGAATGGTCCTGTTCTTCACTTCCTGTGTAGCATGGCTGCCATTACCCATCAAAAGAATAACACAACATTCCTACCTGCTCAGAGCAGTTTTCCTGACTTCACACCTCACGAGGAGGAATGTCATAGATGCTAAGGACTGCGACACAACACCACATGATGCAGCGAAAAGCAAGGCGAATTGGAAGAGCAGAGCATGGCTTTCCCTGTGCAATAGTGGTTAAGCCATTCAAACCCACTGAGCCTGTTTCACCACACAAAAAAGTGAGAGCAACCTACACCTCCTTTGTCGAGCTTTGTAGGGCTGTTGTGAGGTGAATTACGACTACATATATGGTGAAATGCTTAATAAACAATGAATACTGTTTTATTAGCAAAGGTGGGTATTAAAGACACAGAGTAGGTGATGACATGATCCAAACACTGCAATTTTTGGGGGCTGGGGAGATGGCTCAGTAGAATAAGCACTTCCCTGGCAAGCGCAAGGGCCTGAGTTTGATTCCCGGTTCCGCAAAAAAAAAAAAAAAAAAAACACCGCAATTTTCTCAAAACTTGGTAAGTGGCTAGCTACAGTGAATTCGTTAGGCCAGAGGCTTTCAAACATTTTATTATTTTTTTTTATACCAGGAATCAAACTCAGGATCTCAAGCTTGCCAGGCAGGTGCTAAACCACTAAGCTATATCCCCAACCTCTGCCCCCCTT